AACTCTCCGACCAAAACGATTTAACTGACTCCTATTAACATATTCTGACTTAATATGATCAATACTCTGAACTTAAACAAACATGGCTGGACTGACTTGATGAACCGAACCCTCGGCCGTGGTGCACTCGCTATATGCGAGGCCTACGGCCTTCGGCCATCACTCGGCCAAACAGCCTCTTTACTCGACAACTTCAGAACCTTATAATCTGATCAATATACTGAAACAAAATAAGGCTTAATCACACTGAAGAACATGATTAATACTGAAGTAATAAGTCTCGGCCCGAGGCTGCCCGAGGCTACGCGCGATAGGCGCGGGGGCGTCGGCTGAGGGCCATTTCATCGACTTTTCTTCATTTTTACACGACCATACTCACTTGACTGAACATGGTTAACTGAATAGAGGCTAAATAAACGGTAAATGCACGGAACATGTCGGACTGAATTGAACATAAATTGATTATGATCTTACTCAACCTAACCGGACCTAAGGCACGGCTTTAATCTGAAAATTCCGACAATTAACCGAACGATTAACCTGGAAATATCCTAATTAATAAGATCATAAACTAAGGAGAATTTTACCTTGCTGATTGCTCGACGGAAAATGAAGAAATATGCGTGACTTCTACACCTCGCGTGCCCGTGCGATGGCTTCGGTTTGCCGTGCGATTGAACTCCTTTAGCCGTGCGGTTTTTAGTGAAAATTTAAGGGAATTTGCTTAACTTTGGAAGCTGATGAAGAGGGGTATATATGCTGCGAAAAGCTTAAAGAAAAGATGGGAAAATTTTGTACAAGTACATACTTATATAAGCACGGCCGAGAGGGGAATGATGTGGGCACTACGTGGCCATCTTAGGCTTCTAACACTTGCTCAATTTGGGGTCATTAGTTGATGACTAATCAACATCTAATTAACCCACGTTGCTTAATAAAACTTGGGGAGAAATGTTGGTTTCCTTTGAAGGAAGAAAACTCACGGTCTATGTACTCAAAATTGGGCATAATTTGGTTAATTGCTCACGGCTTTAGGGCTTAATGTGGTGATTAATTTTAATTAATCACTTATCTTATGTTTAATTATTAATTAAACATAATACTTAATTACCAAAATTATTTCGGACGTAAACGATACGCCGTAGATTTCGGTAATCCCGACTGAACTTAATTAATTCCGAAAATAATAAACGATAAACATTATTATATCGGAATTAACTTAATTTATACCGATAAATTATCGGGATATTACATCTTAGTCTACAAGTGTATATTGGCTAAATTTTTATCATGTGATTATTTTTGCTGCTGCGTATTTAAATTCAAGTTTCCATTTGAAAAAATCTAGATATTTTAGTACCTAAAATTCTAATACAAGCTTCACTAACTAGTTACAACCAACTAGCAACTAGTTACAACCAACTCGAACCCAGAGATTACACGGCATTCATGCAAAAATTCTTTGCATGCATTTGCCATATTACATTCTCACGTTACAATCTCTAAAATTAAACAACACTAAACTCGGTTGTATGCATTCCTGGGTTGTGTGGTGAAAACACGAAAGAAAAAAATGAAGAAAAGAAAATAAAAGTAAAGTAATTTTTAATCCCGAGGGCGTGCGAGCCACAACGAGCTTAGGGCCCGAAGCCGAGAGAAGTAATCGCTGATAGAAAGGAGGGCCCGTGCCGACTGCCGTGTTGTCAGTATGCGGTGCATTTGCTGAAGGGTTTGCTGCCGTAAATTGTCAGCCTGCACAATTTTTTTTATTTTTATTTTTTTCTTCTTCTTATGGATGTTTTTCTTGTTATAAATATCCCTAACATTCATTTATTATGCGAAAACATACATAGTAAAGGAAGCAGAGTGTGAGATAAACCTGACGAATAAAGCCATCAAGCGTTCCCAACTTGCCCATAGCCATTGCCATTTGTCCCATGTAATTGGCAACATTTCCAGAAGGGTTAAGAGTAGCGGCTAATGTCTCGGCCAACGACTGCTGCAAAGCCTCCATGCCTTGTGACAGCGCATCTTCCGCCTGCTGAGATGTCTGCTGCAAATTATTGATGGCCAACAATTGCTGCTCGGTCAACGGCTCCAACTGATTAATAAGAAGCTGCAACCACAAAAACAACACAAGAAAAATTCCATCTCTTTTCTTTTTGTCTAATCAAATCAAATATATCAATCTCAATTTACCTTAAGAAGCTCGGAGGAGCGAAACCCACCAAGCCAGAGGAAGCACCTCTCGGCGGGCGTTTGCCACATGCCTGAAAGAATGTGAAACACGTCAGACTTTGCAGCATCCCCTTTTATCCTAAATATTTCGTCATACTGTGACAATATTCCCTCGACTATTATCCGCAGCTCGGCATCCCCAGTGTGCGAACTCACGGCACCTCTCAGCTCATTAATCCGCCGGTTGTGCTCCTCAAGCCACCGTGAATATTCCACGTCGAAGGCCAAGGCACCTGGAGAATAACGAATTTTTTAACCCAATTATTTAGGCAAGTTAATTAAGTAACTCCAGTAATTAAAATTTGCAAGTACCCCCATAAAGTGTTGTAAAAAAACAAATATCCCACTTGTTCAGGGAGCAATTTGTACAAGAGAAACAAGTAAACAGAGCTAAAAAGACATTTAAAAGAAATAAATAGTGCCACATCAAGACAGGTCAGTTGAATCAATCAGATTTGTCTCATAATCGCCATTGACTTGTCTTCTCACCCTTCTACAGCTGCCCGAGAAATTTTAGAATTACATACAAGTGTTGTCCACAAAAAACAAAAGGTAATTTCCTCTTCACCTACACTAGATTTAGGGAGGGAGTAAGAACTGAACTTGCAAATAATCTGCTTAAGAAATCAGAAATTAATCAAGGAAAAAAAATATCTTTAATTTGGGCATATTCCTGATTAAAATCCAGGTAAGTCAACTTTTATGGAGTTGTTAACACAAATAAACATACAGCTCTTAAATTTCGTCAGTGGACCACCTTATAATGCTTAGTACATGACAACTAAGCTTGAAGAGAAAGAGAAAAACTTGAATTGCCATTTTTTTTTGGCATTCCCATTCAGTGAGTGTCCCCAGTATTTCAAGTTTTCGATTCCAACCATAATTTCCTTTAACTTTCCTTTCCCCACTTCTTACATCATTGAACCAGAAAGTCAGCTTCCAAGAACTTACAGTAACTCTCTTAGGCCCCTCCACGTTAACCTTTTTCTTGATCTATATCAAAACGGACTTTTTTAGAATTAATTGTTTTTTGATTTACAGTAATACATAGAGCTAAGATAACTCTTACCATTTCCAACGGTTTGAGATTGATCTCCAGCACTTGAAATATATACACCCTTCAGCAAAGAAAACCACATTTACCAAGTTGGAAAAAAAAATCGAAAAAAAAAGTAACTTATAACAGTGATTCCATGCCAGTAAATTATGTATAGTGAGAACAAAGAAGAGAACCTGCTGCCTTGCCCGTTGGAGCTCTTGCTCAAGCTGTGTTAATTTCATTCTGCTGCTTTCTAGCTGTTGAACATAAGCCTAAACACCGGAATTGAAAAAAGAAAAATGTAAGACATTTTTAAATGTATAAAAAAGGTAGAAGGTAGATACAAGAGGAAATATAGTACAAACTGGTCAGTCATGTGCTACGTGTTAGTAAAAAATTATTAGAAACTACCTTAAGGTAATGAAATTAATATCATATGGGAGATTAAATGGAACAAATAATGTGGTGAATGGACAGTGTACAACATGTGAAGATAATTAATGCCTGGATACAAGATACATAGATATTAAGGCCCTACCTTTTTTCTCAAACGGCTTTTTCTAGCGGCTTCACGATTTTGAGCAAGCCTACGTAGAGTCTGCAGGGGTAGTCGAGATTACACATTTTATATTTGGAAAAATAAAAAATAATAATTTGCGCGATCAACTTTGATTTGGAAAACCTTTTGATCTCTAGACATATCACTACCATCAGAACCCATTGCAGTCTGCATTTGATTGTTTCGGTACTGGAAAAGAAACAAAGAATTTCACAATTTAACAGCCACATGCAAATTATAATGACATTAAAAAACACGAGGAAAAAGAAAGAAAGTACTTATTTGAATAATAAACACAAAATTACCCTCAAATTCTTATCTTCGGTGTCAGCATCAGTCGAAGTATCTGTCCGAGGACTGGCATATGCCATTCTTGGACACTTGTATCCCCTATATTAAGACCTTAAACTGAAATAAGCACATGTATCGACTATTTCGGAAACAAGGACTCAGGCCGAACCCAATGTCAACCAGAATGGACCCAAACTGCAGGATATTACTCTGCAAATATAACCAATTGATGCATAAACAACTTTTTGGTAAATTGACAACTATAATATATACGTAGATACAATGTGTATACAAATGTATAGAAAGGGACACATAAGATTTGCTTATGAAACATTCTTCCATTGTTCATACTAAGTTTAACACTTAAACTACTTCTATTATAGATGTTGTAGTTGCCCAGATATCTTGACCTAGACCAAAGGTCCAAATACACGCCTACAATGAAGTAAGTAATTCACTTTTTCTAATTTGTCACTCTGTGCCAAACGGTACAGTGCTTTACTATCACGGATTCTGAGCTGTAACTTAAAATTATCAATTCGAGGAACAAGAAACGGTGAATAACGATAAAATCAATAGAAAAACTAACTGCCCAGAAAAAAAAAATTCAGATGGATCATTGAAAACGGGGTTTCACACTTATAATTAGGCACGTGAAACATATGAAGCTTGTATCACAATGCTCCAAAGAGTTCTTAGTAATTGCATCCAAAACTATGCCGGGTATCGACAGTCGCGATTCCAAGTCTCGACATCTAGAACTCAATTTACATCTACATTTTGGTGCACCTTTTCTACATATTACTTTACTTTGATAGGATCACAAACATTATCCACAATATGCTCAGTAATTTGGGCACTGCATATTAAATTTACCCCCAAAAATTCCCTGTTCGTGTGCAAACACTACCAAAAGTCGGAAACTGCTTTAGTTCTTAAACCCTTTTTTTCAGCTAATAAAAAGCAATCCATTCAAGACTTTCCAGTTTACTGTTTAAGCTATATAGATATCATAAAACCTCAAAGTATCAAGATTTTATACAATATCAAACCATAAGATCTCAATCAAACACTTGTAACTCTAAACCCTATTATCCTTCTCCAAAACACGAACCCTTTTTGAGCTGTAATTCGCATTCAGTTCGTTTAAACTTCATTCAGGTGAGGAACTTCATTTGATCCACCAAAATACACGAAACAAAAACCGAAAACACACAGCAATAATTTCTGAAAAATAAAAAAGAAAAAGGGTGAAATCATTACGTTCATACTTTGCTTACCTCGTCTAATTCTCATAGCAGCTGAAATTCCTTGCAAAAATATTAATTTTTGCAGCGAGGCAAAGACGGGACAAGAAAAGGGAGTGACGATATGAAAACCACCTCTGCGTGGGGAATGAACAACAAAGGGAATTTACTATTATCAATCTTATTTTGACTTTGGGGTCTGTTTGATAATTTACATATTTGTTTGGGGTTGGGAATATATTTATTTAAGCATAAAAGAAATGTCACGAGAGTTGGAAAATGAGGAACAGTAAATCAAAGGTTTGACTCATACTCTTAGAGTCAATGAGTGTAGCGACCGGTATGCGGTATTATCAGTACGACCGGTATTACCGTCTATTTTACTGGTTTTAATAAATATTAAATTAATTTGTTATTATTATATAAATAATATACAAAACTAACTTTAATTAATATTAAAATAAATTAACATCTAATAACAATATAAACATATTAAAGTTAAGTGTAGAAATTTCAATTTATATAAATAAAATAATAAAAATCTATTAAAAATATTTTTTTAAAAAAAAATGGCATAAACCGGTATTTTGACCGGTATTTTGGCCGGTATTTGCCGGTAAAACCGGTATTTCCGATACGAAACCGGTATTTTGGCCAAAACGATATTTTGAGTGTAAATGTACCGATCGGATCACCGGTATCCGGTATTATCGGTAATACCAGCCGGTACGAACCGATATTTAAAACATGGCTTAGAGTATCTACAATGCCTCGAGTCTAGTCTTGTCTATGTGGCATGCAAATAAACTCAAGTTTTAGATGACATGGATAAAAGTATGTAAATTAATAAAATTCACTCTTTGCACTAAGTCTTTACTTGGGTCTAAAATAGACTTAAGGGTAGACCAGGTCGCTTTTTCTGGCTGCCACATCAGCAGGACTCGGTCTACTTTTGTTTGCATTGGAGAATACATTTTTTTAGGCTATGTCTATTTCTTATGTGACATACAATTTTTTTGTGAATTTTTTAAATCAAATAGCATAATAATCCATTTTTTGAACCAAAGAAATCTTAGCGAATGTTAAGGATGTAGAATCTTAGCGAATGTCAATGATTTTTGGTTTAGGATCTCAGACTCTAATCAGATATGGAGTCTTGTAGAATCACCGAGTGGCGTAAAAGTCATTGGACGAAGTCTATAAGTAAAACGTAAAAACTTTGGAACAAGACTTGTCGTGAAATAGTCGATTCAGAAAGAATAAGATCTATTATGAATTAATTTTTTCACCAGTAGTCGTGCTTAAGTCTGTACGATTTCTTAGGATGTTGTTGCTCATATTAGTTATGAGACTAGACAAGGTGGATGTCAAGACATTTTTCTTATACGGAAGTCTTGTGGTTATATCTATTGAGCAACACCTAGAAGTGTTCGTTGAAAAGGCCTGATAACATCTAGTGTGTAAGCTGAAAATATTATATATTAACACCCTCATGAAATCTAAAATTTTGGAGGAGTACACAAATTCGCGCTGATACTAAAAACAATGAACGTTCATGTAAAAGTTGCGGAAGCAAACCAATAAAAACGAACTTTCAGGAGAGGGTCCCACTCTCCCTCAGAACTCTTTCATTAACCAAGTGTTTGGCCAACAAGTACAAATAGGATTTACACGCATAGACTCCCTCTAAGCTAACCTACTTTGTACTCCACCCTCCTAACTACTTTTCTTGCCACGACGTGGGCTTACGCTGCACGTATGGATCCCTTCAAGCAAAATAAAGATGCTTGTCCCAAGCACCAAGTAGAAACTAAAACAGAGACTGACAGCTCGAATTACCAGCAATGAACCTTCACACTGGAATCCGACCACTCTATAAAATATAATCAAAAACTCACGAGCTCTTAATGAATATAACTCTAAACTCTCTCAAAGATAATGGAATGGCTCATCTTCTATCAGAGCTCGTGAAACTAATATATATACAACTACATATGATATGCAGGTTCATCAGAAATCTGGAGTTTCCAAATTTGCTTGATCTTCTCGCTCAACTTTGGAAACTGAATCTCCATGCCTTGTAGATCATGATGCTCGAATATCTTGCCCAAATCTTCCAGATTTATACGCGTCTCTCTCTCTTCAGTCTTGCGAACTTTATTTCCTTGTTTTTGTGCGAACTTTCGGAAATATCTTCTTGCCGATTTCTTTCCTTTTCTTGTCGATTTCTTTCCTTTTCTTGCTCGATTTTCCAGCTTTCTTCCACACGATTTCAGCTCCTAAATCTCACAAGAATATCTCCCTTTTATCATCTTTGCTCTTCCTTTTCCTACAAGTAACAGAAGTCAATAAATTACACAACATATAAAGAGAATATCAAAATAAGGAAAGTGAATATATATAAAATCTCCTAATTAATCTAATATATTTCCTTTACCTACAAGCTAAAGGAAGATAATTAAACCAAATAACATAAAAAGAGAATAATTAAAATATGAAAAGTTAAGATAGAAATCTTCCTTTTCTCTTCAAGCATTATTCCATGATACCTTTTTCAAGAAACAAATAAATTAATAAGACAGATTACACATTACACTTCCCTAATTTTTGTAATGACAATTTTATTCCAAGAACCGTGTATTACATTGAAGAGCTTTAAAATGGAGCTATCATACACAATGAAGACGTTTGACGAACAAAGCGAATTGTCAAGATTAGAATCTAAACACACGATCAATAGCCGACACACAATCAAGAATAAAACCAATAGTCTAGATAAAATAAAAAAACAATGAGCAACACTGGGCATGCTTGGTTTTTCATTTCAAAGTAACTTTTAAGTACTACACTGTTCGTCTCATTCCCTTATAATTCTGGACATTCTCAACTAATATAACCTCGTCTCATTCCTGTTAGGAATCGAGCCTCACCACTCAACCAGCTGATATCTTAGACTCCTTTTAGGAATAGGTAGATCCAAAACAAAAACCTTCAGGTTCATTCAAGAAAAAATGAACAAAAAAAGTTTTGATTTTGAAAAGTAAGTGTTTTTCATACAAGAAAGGAAGTGAAAGAGTGATTTCAGGGAGGAGCTACGTACAAGATCTCTGACGGCCCCTCTGTCAAGGTATGAGAGAACCCCTGGATCCTTGGGTTTCAAACTTTAAGCCTGAACGACTTTCTTCTGCTTCCTCTACACTGTAGTTGGTTAAAGATCTGCTCGACTCGGCGGGAAGAAATTGGAACACTGATATTATGAAAAACAACTTCACCAACAGAGACATGCAAACTATTCTCAGTATCAAAGGAATGGAACCACGGAACCAGACATGTTGGAGTGGGACAGTGGGATACAAGGCAAATTTTGTGGTTCCAAGGGATTAGAAGAAATGTGAAGGTTTCAGTGGGCATTGTTGTTGTTGACTGGTTAGAATTTAGTTTAATTTCTTAGTGATTTTGGTTAGTTTTTCCTTGGTGGTGGTTTTGGTTTTACATGTTTTACTCTTGTTTTGCATGTGTTTATTTCTCTTTTATGCTAGTTGCTTGGTTGATCTGGCTCCTTTGGTTCGATGGCAGTTTAACTTTTGCAGTGCTCATTCTGGCCCCGACTGGTTTAAGCCCAAGGATGTTCTAACTGTCTCAAGTTCCTTAGCTTGGCCTTTGTCGAAGAGATCTTAGACATCACTGACTTTTTTTGTTTTTTTCCTTTTTTCTGATTGTTTAGAGCACCTGCGTGTGTTCCTCTAATTCTTTCTTTGGTAAAGTTTGTATGACTAGTTATCCTATCCATTTTGTACTCTCGTTATCGAGTTTATTGGATGTTATCGAGTTTATTGGATCTATCGTTTCGAAAAAAAGTACTATATTGTTTTCAAATCATATTTTTTGTCGATTAACATTTGAAAATTCCCATTATAACTACCAGTATCTCAACCAGAAAACCCAAAAATTAAAAAAGAAAAAAAAAAAAAAAGGCAGGCTTCAAAGGATCCTCTGTCATCTTTACATTACCTTCCTACTTTTCCCAAGATTAGTATCATTTTTTCTCATTAGTAGTATCCTCTATATCATGACATAAAGGCAAAATAGTATGACCATGGAAATGCTATCAGAATACTCGGAAAATGAAAATGAAAAATGATAAGAAAACCAAGCTCAAAAGTGACTATCACGCCCGATGCTGGACATCAAAATCCACATTTAAACCTAGTTCTAGTCATATACAAAACCCACGGCTTGTCTGGAAAAAATGAGGTTGATGCAATAACAAGGAAATTAACCTAGAGATGGCGCTGGAAATCTACCAGATTTTCCACAGTACAAGATTTTGTTTCCACAAGAGCCTGAGTCAAAAGAAGGTTCAATATAATGCTGAAATAAACATGAAACCTGAATCACCATGCTAGAAAGTGTCCAAGATAGAAATGGAGTCGCATGATTCTTTTTTCACATAAAAAGAATTTCACAAACCAAGCCAAGAAATCACGAAATGGAGAATATCGGAATAAGCTTTAGTGAATAGCTTATAATATTCAATGTAAAAGCTACACAGTCCTTTCACCATTCAGAGTACTAATGAACAAATCCTTCCAAACCAAAATCACGAAATCTGCTAAGCCTAATGCAACACAACCGCAAAGGCGTGATCTAAACCGTATTTCACAATTAATCTAATAAGGTACCAGCAAACACATTTCAATTGCATCAAGGCAAATAATCGCTGCATGACATTCAATAGGTTGTTAAACACTATCGAACCTAACACATCAAACCCATCCACACATTAAACATTAAGTAGGTTGTCAAACCCCATCAAACCTAATCAAATTGACATTTCCTCCAAAAACAACTGACATCAATGCAAGGAAAACTGATCTTTTTGTTTTTGTTCAGAGGAATAATAAACCTCATGCTTGAAGCTGGCTATCTAGAATTCAAAATTCACAATTAAAAGAAATCGGTGCCTCGAGAAATATATATATATAATCAGCCAAAAGATTGTTTTATACAGAAAACGAATATGAATCATTCTTCAATACAACAAATTAGTATACTGACAAAGTAATAATCTCTCTTGCGTACGTAAAACACAATCCGCCGACACAAATCGAATCACAAAAAAACCAGAATCAATTTCTAAGCTTCATATTCAAACAGCCCATACTGAGGAAATTGGAAATTTCAACAAGAAAAAAGATCATCCCAGTTAGAGAAGGCCAAACAGCGCAAATACCCCAAGCAAGATCAGCCAAATTATGTGAACCAACAGCAGCGCCTGGCCCGCGGTGCCCGACCCGCCATTGCCCACTTCGCAAAACCCTAGTTTCTTCACTCGCGCGCCTGCGCAATGGGCCTCGGTGCAACCGCACCAGTACGTGACGCCGTCGACCCCACAAACCGGGTCGGGCCGGAAGCATTTCACCGGGCAGACATCAGGCTTTGAATTCAAAGGGCAGATGTCATTTTCCGCTTGATCGGAGGGCAATTTGATGGGATTAGGGTTGGATCGGACGGTTGGGGGGAGGAGGGTGGTGACGAGAACGACAAGGATGAAAATCGCCGGCGGTTTGATCTGCAACAAGTGCATTTTCTGCGATCTTCAAATTGTTCGATTGTAGATGCTTATCCAATAAATTGATATCGTTTACTTTCGAATTGGCACGAACTAGATTCTGGGTTTTGCAGGGATTGGCAAGAAAGGAGCTGAGATTATGAATTCTAGGGTTTTCTTTTCTCCAATTTTGAATCGGCGTTACCTATCGGAGAAAGAAAAAAGGGAAAGAAATATATCGTATCTTTTAACATAACAGAAAAAATATACTACCGTTCACAAAGCAAAGAATATTTAAATTAATTGTTAATTGTTATTAGAATAGAAATTACTTAAAAAAAAAATTTAATAATAATGTCTAGTATTCGGTTAGGTAATTTTACGTTATACCTACCATCTTTTATTATTGATACCTCTTAAATCGTGACATATAATATTTTCAATTATATAAAAAAAAATTTAAAAAAATATTAAATATACTTATGCACCTTATTCAAAAAAAAAAAAAAAAATCCTTTGAAAAATAATTTAGAAATTCATCATTTTCTATATTGTCGACTTTTGCCCTCAGAGGGCTCTAGTCCGGCCTCAAATTCTAGGTTTTCCCAATTATATACCAGTAAAAATATTTTAACTCATGTTATATTAAATTAGTCTTGTATTAACTTTATTTTAACATATAATAAATTAACCTTTTTTTATAAATTAAATCAATGAATTATAATTTATACATTTGAACATGATTTGAGTTTCTTTCTACTTGTCCTTTTAGCTTGTTATGTCATTTTCGTCTTCTTTTGTTTTTATTTTTCATTATTTGGTTAAATAGAGTTCATTTGAATAATTTTACTCAAGTTAATATTATTCGATATTATTCTATTTTCATTATAATACTTAATATGAAACTGAATTTTTGGATTTCATAATCTCGTTTATATACTTGCTTAAGTCTTAAATATATGATATTTGATTATATTAAATTTACTATTAAATCTTATGTATTTGTGTTATATATTCAGTGAAGTGATATATGAACCTTAAAACTTGAATTTTCATAAAACAAGAACAACGAGACTATTACACCGCATTATAACAGACTTTTCAATAAATTGTCTTCTTATTATCGAATTAAAGTTAAGTACATAATAAAAAATATATTTGTATATTTTTTAAAATTATAATAAATCAATTGAAAATGAACATTTGTCATATGTATAAGAGTAGTTAATAATACACCATTTTTTGTTCAAAGATTGTCATTCAAATATAAAATATGACTAAAAAGAATAATAATTGATATTTTTATTTTGAAAATGCAACATTCCTATTTTAACGTTATCGACTTTTGATTCATATAATTTTAAATTGAAAAAAAAAAAATCATACTTTGACTTCTTTATACGTGCAAATATCTAGATTATTCTAGTTGAGTACTTCATATTCGAATTCGTGCTCATTTAATAAACGAGTTGGCTTGACTCGGCTCGTTTGATAAACAAACAAAAAATGTGAGCTCAAGTTTAACTCGTATAAACTTCGTTCGACTCATTTAATAACCTCACAACTTACACCAAAACATGAAACTCTAACCGAGCTGATCGTGAACAAGCTCAACTCGACTTATTTGGTAGGCATGTTGCAAATTTACAAATTATTCGAGCTTGAGGTTTCACATGTCAAATCAAACTATGTAACGAGACAACTCAATTCTCATTCGAATAATATCATTACGTTTTGTAGGCCTGTGTGAAAAAAAAAAAAATTCTGGCTACTCCCCTGACTGTCCTGTCGCCACCGCTAGTCGCCAGACTTTACAAAATCACACAATAAATTTTGCTCAATACTACCTTGGATTTTTATAGTGTGCAAGTGAGTTTGAAACTCCAACTGTCGATTCTCGTGTCTCGTTTATTCATTATCAACATGTGAGCTCTTGATTTGTTCGTCTTCTCATGAGTTATAATAGTCCTTAATCAATTTTATGTTTTGGGAATTTTTATCTCTCCTACATGATTTATATGTACTTGCATATATATTGACACTGAAATTTTTTTTTGCAATAGTACCTAAAATCTAGAAAATAAATAGAGTTATGCATAAAGATAGGTTACCAAAAAGAAAAAATGTATGAATCTTCCATTATAATTAAAAAAAGGAAAAATCATATGATATAGTTAGAAAAGATCAATGAACTCAAAATAGGTATATAACTCTCTCTCTCTCTCTCTCTCTCTCTCTCTCTCTCTCTCTCTCTCCCTCCTTGACGAAAAAAAATCTACACTTCTGTCATCTCCCATGGTTTTTTTAATGGAGTCGGGCAGAGTAGCGACTGAAGAGGCGGTGATGTCGTGGCCTACGACCGCTCCCTCAAGATCAAGGCCGAGGCCCAACAAACTCAAAGGGCTTGCCGCTAATCAAAGTCGCGTCCAGTTGCAATCGACTATTTTCAAGCTGAGCGCAAGGGCGGATAGGATATACGGGGGATTGAGGGAGAGATTTCCACAATGCAGTCCGAGATGCGGCAGGTTGTCGGAGATCAGGACCAATTTCGAGGCGGCGCATAGGGGGATCCAGCGGAGAAGATGACCATGGTCATAGCCGCAGTTTCGGGTCTTAATTTGGATCTTAGGTTCGATTTGACCAGTTCAATTCATTTTCTAAAATAGTATTTATCTAGTGTTTATTAATATTTATGTCTGGTATATGATTAGTTTGTGTTGTATATTTTAGGTGTATGTTTTGTATACAGAATCTGTAATTTTTTAGTGTTGAAAAACGAATTGTATTGTTTGTTATTTTTCTAGTGGCGTATGGTTCTTAATGTATTGTATAATTTTTTTTTAACAAAAAACATCCCAGTGTGGGATGGGATGTTGAGGCTACACCCCCGACCTGTGGATATAATAGCCCAGGTAGGGCTAAAAAGTCAAATGTCTACAACAGTGTCTAAGAGAAATAGAACATCAACAGAGCAGAAAACCAAAATATACAATGATCAAAAAATATCCGATTTGGATCAAAAAGCTAGTCATCATGAAAGGTCGACCTGGTCAAGGTGTCCTGGCATGAAATCTAAAAGGACGAGTCTAGTCAGGATCAGGTGGTGGCGGTCGTCCGAATCTGAAGGATGGGTACTGAAGCTGGTCCATCCGAATGAGGGTCCGTAGTCGAAGGGGATGTCCTCAGGGTGAAGGATGCGTCTCTGAGGTATAGATGTCCCCGTGCTAGGAAGAAAATCGGCGGGGCGGTTCCCCTCTCGGAATATGTGTGAGATCTGGTAATGGATCGAGTGCAGGGTGTCTCTGATGCGCATAAAGGGGTGTTGGATCTGCCATGAGCCCTGGTGGCCAGATGTCAAAAGTGTGATGACAGCTGCAGCATCCATCTCTATCCATATATGGGAGGAGATCGAGGCGGCAATCTCAAGACCAATCTGGAGAGCCTGAATCTCTGCATCATAACTCGAGGAGGCTCGGAGTGGTCCATGAAAGGCAGAGATGAGTGCCCCTCCATGGTCCCTAATCAGGCCCCCTCCTCCAGCAGCTCCGGTATGTCCGTCAAATGCACCGTCAGTGTTTAGCTTAACCCAAGGGGGCTTGGGCTTCAGCCAAACAACGGTCCTGGGTCGTGGGTGCTGGACAGGTAAAGGAGGTGGTGGTCTCCAGCGATGGGGCGGTGTACAACCTGTCCAGTCTCTCGTCGTGAGTCTGCCCTGGGCGGTGAGGAGAGTGAGGTGTCTATCAACCTGCAAAATAATGTGAGCACAAGAAAAAATAATATCCCTATGCTTCGCATTATTCCTTTCTGTCCAGGTGGCCCATAGGATCAGAGAAGGAATAAGGAAGCCCACGTGTCTACTGTGTGTGTGAAGTGAGAAAAAACTCAGGAGTTCAAAAAAGCTGTCTGTAGTGGGTAGGGGTATATGAGTATATCTGGCATAGTGCTCCCACACTCTCCTCACTGTCTCACTCTCAAGGAAAAGATGGGTGAAAGTCTCGATCTCAAAGGTACTGGTCTCAGTACAACAATGGCAACGGGAGGGGAAGGAGAACCCCCTCGTCTGCACCACAGTGTCAATGGGA